CAGAGGCGTTTTCTTGTTGATTCTGACAGCGATGCGTCCATCAGAAAAAGTCAGCCCTGTATTGTCGATCACGCAGCATGGTTAGGCTTTAAATAATCTGATCGTTAGCTCGTAATTTCAATCTTTTTTTCTTGAATTTTGGCCTAGTTTCTTGATTTCTTATGCATTTTCGTGATATTTTTCTTTTAGCTTGAGAAGCGCCATCTACTGGAAGATATGAAGATCTCAGATTCTTCACTGGATCAGCAGTTCTTTGGTGGCACAAGCAATCAAGCACACATTCGTAGTGTTCGCACTGGCGCCAAACTAAATCCCACGGAAGCACATCTCTCTAAGAAGCATTTCAATAAAGGCAAGAAAGAAAAATTACGCCGAATATATGACAATCAAGTGTAAGAAGACTTCCTTTTCTACAGGTTTGACTGATTATGTGTTCGAAATAAGACGAATCGTAAGGAGGTATATATGTATAACGGTAATTTTAGTAGCTTTTAGTAGCTTTGCAGTCATCGAATATTTACTTCTTTCTGTTATTCCTTATTCTTTTGTTTGTTTGTTCAATTTGGGTATTTTATTGTAACTTGTTTCTTTCACCATTTTCATGCGCATATATGTTTAATGTATGATTGCAGCCTGTTGTACTGACGAAGTCGAGCTTTTATTCAATCCGGTATATTTGCAGCTTACTGAACCTGGGAGCTTTTTTGTCTTGGACATATTCGATACCTTATATCTCGTAATTTTTCGTATTCTCTAGCCCCGTTTCCGAGAACTATTGCCTAAATGCTGGTTTTTTTGAGAAGATGTCGGAATTTGCGGCAAGAAAAGAATTCAGCAATAGTGTTCACCACCTTACGGACCAAGGATGAATTTCTGACGCACCATGGCGAAGAATAAAAAGTCCACTGCACCTGATTCCCGGAAACAGCGCAGATTAGGCTATTTTGCTTCGTTTACGAAAGCTATATTCTCTAGCGTAACTAAACATCTAAGGTAACGAATAGGAAAACTTTTTACTGATAAAATTTCACTGATAAATTTTAAATTTCCCTTAAACGATTGTCAGCGTCGCCAACAAGCTGACGGCTAGAATTGTACAATTGGCCAAAGCAGTTAAAATATATTTAAAATACAAAATACATATATTTCTCAAAAAAAAGAAAAACATATATTGCTCATAGGCTATGTATTTTACATATATTGCCTACTGTCTATTATAATTTTGCTCGCATACAGGGCAGTTTGTAACCACCCACAAAT